TCTGGGGGAAACTCGGCCCTGCCCACACCTTCAGGTGAAGTCCTGCTGCCCTGAGCCGCCCAGCAGGGGTGCTTTGTGCTGGTGGCCCCAGGACCCCATACACAAGGTGACCCTCAGCCCAGGACCTTCACAGGTGAAACCCGCACTCACTTCCCATGCCCCTCGCACTCGGCTCAGGCCTCCAGGGCACCTGTGGCCACCTCCAGCGACTGAGCAGGGCCTGAGAGGCCGGACGTGTACACCTCAGCCCCACCCCACCGGATCTGAGGTTCCTGCCCCGCGGGGGACACACAGTACCCGAGACTGCTGCAGTCAGGACGGGGTCACGTTCTCCCGGGGCAAGGTGGGCACAGACCAAGCCTCACACACGTGCCTCAGAGCTTCTAAGAACCGTGTCCTTGGGTGCGTGCTGGGCCTGCCCTCCAGTGGTTCTGCATTCGGGAGCTGGACACGGAGAGGCCGCAGAGGTAACCGAACAGGTGGACTCGGTGGTGGCTCTCAGCCCCAGCTCCTGAAGGCTACAGTGGGTACCCCAGCCCCGGGGCCAGCCCAGCGGCCAGGCTGCAGCAGCACAGCGGCTGAGGAGGGGGATGGTGGAGGGGGACCCGTTGAGACCGGCTGTCCAGCCTGTTCCGGCCCTTACCAGCCCGTGTTGAACTCGACGTGGGCATCAAAGAAGCCGACGACTGGGGCAGTGGCCGCCTTCCAGCCCTGCAGCCGGGCGCGGATCAGTCCTTCCCGCCGGCTATTGCGGACGATCTTCACGAGGCCCGGGTACCGCTTGTTGACATACTGGTCCAGATTGAACTTGAGCTCCACTGAGGAGAGACAAGACGTCAGCACGCTGGCAGGTGCCGGCAGGCGTGGGGCCACCAAGACCCAAGGCCAGAAACGCTGCGTGCCCCGTGTGGGATGGGTGTCTCGTAAACGTTCTCTTAGGACCCACTGAGCTGCACGCGGTTCAGCGTGGGAGGTCACAGAGATGAGACCCCAGCCTCACGACGCTGACATTCCCGTGGGAGACACAGCAAACAAGGACACACACCAGACCAGGCAGCAGCCCGTGCTGCAGAGACGGGAGACACAGGGCTGAGCAGTCAGCCGTGAAAAAACCAAGTCCATAGATGAATGGGTGGACACACAAACGTGGTCTCTCCACGCAACGGAACCAGCTCAGCCGAGTCCATGCATGGATGGGTGGACACACAAACGTGGTCTCTCCACGTAATGGAATGTGCTCAGCCAAGTCCATGCATGGATGGGTGGACACACAAACGTGGCCTCTCCACGCAACGGAACCGGCTCAGCCAAGTCCATAGATGGATGGGTGGACACACAAATGTGGTCTCTCCACATAACGGAACCGGCTCAGCCAAGTCCATGCATGGATGGGTGGACACACAAACGTGGCCTCTCCACGCAACGGAACCGGCTCAGCCGAGTCCATAGATGGATGGGTGGACACACAAATGTGGTCTCTCCACGCAACAGAACCAGCTCAGCCGAGTCCACAGATGGATGGGTGGACACACAAATGTGGTCTCTCCA